GAGGCTTTGAGCACCCAACAATTATAAATTATTTATTATTACACACAATAATTTGGCGTCTTCCTGCTCCCAAGGGATTTGCTCCCCTAGGATTCCACCAGGACTTGGTTTTTCTTCCTCAGGATAACTGGGAAACAGATTCCGTGCACATTCCCGCACATTTTTTTTATGGACGATATTTAATGCTTTGAGTTCTTGTAATTTCTAGATTTATTTCTGATTTGTTTCTCTTAATAACTCTCAGCACAGTTATCAATTCCTGCCTTTATCATTTATATTATTGTTGCTGTTATTATTATTATTGTTATTATTTGCAAATAAAAACAAATCGGTGAAATTGTGTTCTCGCTCTCTTGCCATTTCTCACTTTGTATTTTGAATTTTCCCATCCACAATTTGCACCTGAGCATCCAAACCTGAGCCAAAGAAAAATAAAAATCAAATAAAATTCTAATAATCCAAGCAAAAATCACCTTGTAGTCCAAGATCGGGAATTCCCAAGCTTTAACCTCTCCAAAGTTTTGTTCCCCGTTTCTTCCCACTCCATTCCCGACAGATCCTTATCCTGCTGCATTTGGGAAAAGCCAAAGTTTTTTACCAAAGGGAGGTAATTAAAGCTTTTTTCTCTGATCCCGCTCAGCCTCCGGCGCTCCATCACTTCCCGAATGGGACATTCCCGAGGCACCGGCATCAAACGGAGGATCCCCGGCAGGGACACAGGATTCCTGCGGCTCCAAGGCTTTTGGAACGCTGCCCCTCCCCTCCATCCATCCATCCTCGCTCTCTCAGGGATCTCGCCCCTCTCTGGAGCAGCCGCGGGACTCCACAGGGTCCTTCCCTCCGCAATTCCACAGGGAATTCCCTTTTCCCTGCCCTGGGAATTGCTGCTGGCGCTGGGGAAAGCTCCGGGATCCCAGCGCGGGGGCTCACCTGGAATCCCGAACATTGAGAATTTTCCTTGGAGGTTCAACAGCAAACTGAGGGAAACCCCAGGAAACTCCCCCAAATACAGGCAGAAATCAAGGAAGGAAATTGCTTCCCTCTGGGGAAAAAAAGCCTGGAAATGGGAATCGTGAGATCTGGAGGAGCCTCAGGGACGGGGTGAGATGGTTGGGATTGTCCCGGGCAGGGCCAGGATTTGGACTCGATGATCCCTGTGGGTCCCTTCCAGCTCAGGATATTCCCATTTCCTTCCTAACTCTTCCCAAATTCCCTTTCTCCGCCTAAAACGAGGCTGAGCCATTGGAGCTCCTGAGCTTTTCCAAGAATTCTGTGAGTTCGGGGGGGATAATTCCCAAACCAGAGGCTGAGGAAGGGAAAAGGGCTGGAAAAGCCGAGTTTGGGTCACGTTTGCACAAGCGGCTGTAACAAAACACCTCCTCTAAAATCAACAAAGTCCGCAGGGGATTTGAGGGAAATCTTTTGTTTCCCTTTTTAAGGGTAAAAAAAACCACCCGGATTTTGCTGCTGAAGGGGCTGGGTTTGGGCGAAAGGAATAAAGGAAAGGATCGGGGCTGATATTCCAGCAGGGAAAGGAGTATGGAGACAACAGAGCTGGAGGAGGTCACTGATAAATTCATATTTCGAGATTTATAGATTTATTTCAATATAAACTGCCCGCAATTCCCAGGGATTCTGCTCATCCGCATCCCCAGAGCTCCTACGGGATCCTCCCCAGGAGATGGATTTGCCAAAGTGGATTTTTAATCCCGTGCTCCCCACGTCTGGGGAGGCCGTTGGGGTTGTTTTCCAAACAGAAACTCTGGAAGAACAGCCACAAATAAATCAGATCCTCAGGAAAGGATCTGTTCGAGTGGGCAGCTCCACTCGTGGTTTTCCTTGGATCTGGGAAGGTTTTGCTCCTTTTGGGTGCACAAGACTTTGTTGTAAAAGGTGTTCAGGCTTCTTAAATGAGTTGAGAAATTAGTCTGAATTTCAGGCTTAAACTTTCAGCCTTTTCCATGCCGGGATTTGCCTCTGGAGCTGCTCTCCCTGGTTTTTAAATCATCCCCAAGCTCCCGCTGGAGCGGCTTTACAAAGCTCCAAAAACGTCTTGAACATTTTTCCCGTTTTCGGACACGCTCAAAGTGGAGGCATTTGAGGAAAACCCTCAAAATACTTTTAAAAAACCACCCAACCCTTTTATTTCTCCTCTTTTCCCCCTGAAAGCAGCGTTTTCCCAAAGGGCTCAGGGACGTAGAGCAGGGAGGAGAAGCAGAGCTGGCAGCGGGGCGATGGATGCGGAACATCCTCCGACGATGGTCTCCCAAAAAACCCCAGGGTGGACGCATGTGACCCCCAAATCCACATCCTTGTCTTCAAATCCGGAGGGATCTGTGCGCGAGGGAAGCGACGGGGGCGCTGAGGGGCGGCTGTGACCCCACAGATCCCTAGGGAGGAGGA